CTTTTATTTTAGCAAATTTGTTTAGAGTTTTCATTCCATTCAGCATCATCTCAGACAGAGAAATAATACTTGTCACACAGGGTAAAGAAGGCAGCTTGTGGCCATTTAAGACAAAGAAAGCTATGAGGGTTCATGGAAAGAGAATTGTTATTAGATGTCTATGGGAGACATGGTTTGCAGGAGCAGCGGAGGATTTTGTCATTTCTTTTCATGATTGTTGAGATGCCCTCCCTCTCTCCTTCTCCACAGAGCTTCCCTTTTTATATAAGGGAATATGTCAAGAGTTGGAGCTGAATCAGTGTTTACCCGGGAGGCCATAACAAACATTAAAAAGAAAGTAAAGGGCAATCCTCTAATTTGTCTACTCCAAATTGAACACTATTCAGTTTAGTGGGTGTTATATCTAGTTAAGCATTTATAACAAATGTAGACTGCCTTCCACCTAACGGCCACATAGTTCACTGCATAATATCTGTCCTAAGAGTTCCTCAAGGATCTGACAACTTTTCCCTCTATTCAGGGCTCTGTTTTCCTGCAACTTGTTGGATAATCCCAGTCCTAGAAAACACTATGATGAATGTGTGGATGTGTGTGTGTGTAAACAGATGATTGGTCCATGTGCTCCAGAAGCAGTCCACAAGCCTGGAAATGCTTTGAAATTATTAAAACTGAAGCTTTAGACAACCTATTCAGACCCTATTAGTTACATGTATTTTATATGGAATTTTGTATTTTCATACTCTATATAGAGAAGTTATATCCAGGTTCAGTTTAGTTGTCCTGCCTGATGACATGCTATTCTAAGATAAAAATTATATCAAATAACCATTGGTGATGGTCCCAATTTGATCATTTCAAACATCACAGCAAGAAGAGCATCGCATGTTTCATTATGTATGTTAATTTTATTTGCAAATGCAAAATGCCCTATAATATCCTTGTGATTGTGGCACAATATAAAGGTAGAAATATAGAAAGTATATTACTGCAAGCATTTTAATTTTAGAAATACTTTAAAGGATAGGATTTGTTTTGCATAATTCTAACCTGTAGCTTGGAATAGTGTTAGGTTACAGTTCTGTGGAATTATTAGCAGTGTAGCATTGTGAGAAAATAAATTATGAGTTCTGAGATATTTATATTTTCTTTTTAAAAAAAATTCTTCTAGTTATTTCAATGGAAGCAGCTGGAGAATCTCTATTTTCGTGAAAAGAAGTTTGCAGTAGAAGTTCATGATCCTCACAGGTAAGAAACCAGGAATTGGTTTTTAGTTCATTTTTAGCTCATCCATCCCAAGGAGGGAAAATGTTTTACAATAGTATGGCTCTCCCCATTGTGCTAACCTGAAAGGAATGAATTCAACATCATTGCTTCCCGGATATATCTGCATTACGTGAAATAGCTCCATGTAGCATTTATGTCTAATATAATGGAAGATTAGTATTGTAACCCTTTTTCCCATTAGTATTCCAATCAGTTCCTGAAAAAGAGCCATAAATATATTTATAACCAAAAAAAAGTTGGTGCAAACTAAAAATAAAACTGTTGGGAGAATGTTACAGATTAAGTCTTTTGAAAAAATGTGGTACAAATTATCCACGTAAATAAATTCTAATGCCTTATATAGAATGTTTAGGACTACAACATTCAGCTTCTAGAATTCCTACAGCATTCATTCTGCCTGGAGATTTTGGGGAGTTTGTAATCCTGATGCATCACTTTGCAGAAGGCTAAAATAAGCAAATACATAATTCTTAGTGGGCAGAAGCAGATCAAGCAGATCAAGTATTCTGTAAACATTTAAAATGAATCCCAAACCACCCTTTAAAGCAGTGGTTCTCAACCTGTGGGTCGGGACCCCATTTGGGGTCGATCGACCATTTCACGGGGGTCGCCAAGCAAGGCTGTCCGCCATTGTTTTGTCCACCATTTTTTTTGTCCGCCATTTTTTTCCCCTTTTCCAGCGGGTGCCTTACCTCCCTTGGGCTGGGCCAGCTGGTGGTCGGCCTGCTCCATCTCTGCCGCTTGCCAGCTACGCCTCGGCCGGCGCAGGGGGCGGAACCATGCATGCGCGGTGCTCCCGGGCAGGGAAAGTCCTCGACTTACGACGGGTTTAGTCCTCGACTTACGACCGGTTGGGGTCGCGGTATTAAAAAGGTTGAGAACCACTGCTTTAAAGTGAACTACATATTTTGGTGTTTTGTTTTTAAAGCATCTCTTCCAACTCATACAAATTTTAAACCTTTTGAAAGCACAAGTTTGCTTCATATATTCAGAAGCCACAGAGTAAACTATAAGAAACTAATTCTGTTGATATAACAATAAGCTAGGCTAGAACAGTGGCCCCCAAACTTTTGGGTACCAGGACCAGTTCTGTGGAGAGAGGTTTTTCCACGGACCAAAGGGGGCGTGGTTTTGTGTGGTGCTTGCATTCCGTGGATGGGGTTTCACTTGTTTGTGTGGCCTGGTTTCTGGCATGCCACAGCCCGGTGCCAGTCTTCGGCCCGGGGGTTGGGGATCCCTGAGGTAGAATACAACATAATCACTACACACTTCATCCAGTCATCCAAAAGAGGACAGGTTTATATTTGATCCATACTCTGTGCACTAAACTAGACAGGGAGGAGAGCAGAAAAGCACTCTCAAGAACAGCCCCATTGTGATCAGCAGCTTTGTTCCTCATGTCAATATTAGTTCAAAACTGATTTGTACAATTGTGAAGGAAATGGCTTCAACTCAGTTTTCTAGTGACAGGAAAGTCTGGGTATAAAGAAATCTCCTTTCTAGCCATGTGGGAAAAGTGGGAGGTTGGGGATGGTCGTGAGTAAATTCCACTATGTCTGACATTCCAACTTCTTTGAGAAAAGGTTTCTTCTCTCTGATAGTTCTTCCCCCCCTCCTCTTGGGAATGAATGTTCAGTCTTTCTAGCAGTTGCTGCTGCCTCTTATATACCGTAATCTAAGTGGTACGGCCAGGCACGGGTTTGCTATCTTAGTGAGAACTAAGCTAGGTACAACATAAACATCTAAAAATTGAAGTGTTAACTATTTGGGCGTCGGTTGGTTGGTTAATTGCTTCTTTGCTTATTTAACCTCTAGAGGACAGACTGCAAAGGTTAATCTAAGGGGTTGACTTCAAATGAAGAATATCTATTTCTCTCTCTCTCTCTCTCTCTCTCTCTCTCTCTCTCTCTCTCTCAAAAAACAATGTTCATTTAAAATTATAAAAATGCTTAGAATTTCAGTATCAAGACGGACCTTTGGACAGAGTGGCCTTGTAGTGCAAACCTGGTATGCAAATACTTCTCTAATCAAATCCATCTGGGTGATGGCAATCAGTCAACATCAGTTTTACTTGGACAGGAAACAAAGCAAAGTAAGTGGTCTTCAGTGATATTTAATGTAATTATAGAATTGTCCTATGGACCAGAAATCTTTTAGAGTGATTATATAGAGATAGTCCTTGGGTTATAATAGCAATTGGGATTGGAATTTCCATTGCTAAGCAATGCATTCGTGAAGAGCGATGTCACGTTAACATATTCCTTAGTGGTAGCAATCCTGGCTGTCCCTGTTGCTGAGAGAAGATCAGGGGTTGTAAAGCAAGAAACTGACACAATTACAACTTATGACTTCTTGCCAGTTTCCAACAAGTATTGTCAGTTGGGAAGCCAGCACAAAGTTGCAAGTCCCAGGTGTCTTGCAAGCAGGCCAGTGGACAGGAGTACTATGGAACGTGGGGGGAAGGATGTATTCCAGTGAGGTGTGACTGGAGTGAGCAGGCACTATAGAGTGTGGGCGGGCGGGCAAGCTATGGAGTATGAGATTGCATAGTGGGCTCCTACTCCATAGTGGGCTCCTAAGGAGAAGGAATGGCAGGAGCAATTTGCAACCTTCCCCATTGACTTTGCTTGTGGGAAGCTGGCAGGGAAAAATCGCAAATGTCACTCATGTGACCATGGGACCCGGCAAGTGTTGTTTGTTTGTTTGTTGTATCCCACCTTTATTATTTTTACAAATGCACACATAAGTGCGAGTGAGCTGGTTGCCAAGCTCTTAAATTGTGATCACGTGACCATGGGGATGCTGCAACGGCCAGAACATTGATTATTGGTCATAAATGCCACTTGCTTAGCACTATCACAACTTTAAATGGTCACAAAAATGAGTGGTCACTAACTGAGGTCTCCCTGTATTATCCTTGCAAATTAACCCATGACATTTTGTAGCCTACCTTGTAAAAATATCCATTTTAGTGATTCTGAACAACAAGCAGAATTGACTCTTTTTATCATTTGTAAATACTTTTATATTCATTGGGAATATGGAAGCCTGGGTTGAAAGGCTACAGTTAATACAGTCAATTTTTTTAGTATTATATTTGAGCAGCAGTGCAATTATTTAACTTATTTTGTGCTACTTCCCGCCACAGCTAGAGAAATGTTCCAAAAAACACATACAATGTTTGATTGATGAATTTCATTTTTCCTTTCTTTTTTCCTATATTCATTTTGAACATTTCTAATGGCTAATTAATCACTGATATCCAGAAAACAAGTTAAGTCTCAAAACAATATATATTTAGCTTTGGGGACCGTATGAAATGTGTTTTGTACCTTTTATTTTACTACAGTTAACTTGGTGACACGTGGTAGTTCATTGTTTTGGTTTGTTTGCTTCAAAATTCTTTCAGGCAAAAATTCCCTCAGCCAGAAGCTTGGATGATATTGCAATGGACCTGACAGATACGGGAGTGCCAAAAGTTTCAAAGCTAACAGCTTTGGAAGCAAAGAATCAACTTATTATGGCCAGCAATGGTAGCTTAATCTCTTCAGGTAGGAAGTCTTGCCGTTTGAAACGTTTGCATCTCTGAGGTTTGTTTGTACCATAGAGTGTGCTGGTGGTTACACTCTAAATCAGAGGTGGGGAACTACAGTGTGGCCCTTTTATGACTTGCAGACTTCAGCTCCCAGAATTCCTCTGCTGGCTGAGGAATTCTGGGAGTTGAAGTCCAACAAGTTCCCCACTCCTGCTCTAAATGGTAAAAACCTAAAAGAAAACCTACGAATATGAGACCTCAGATAAATGTATTATTGAACATGACAAATCCAACAAAAACCCTTGCTAGTCCTTGGCTAGTCCTTTAAGCAGAGGTTCATGGGGGGGGGAAAAATCTCCCAACCAGTTTTGGGTATCATAATGGGTTTTTATAAAAGGAAGTGATAGTAAAATGAAAACAAAACCTTTCCTTCAACTTACCCTACATCCTGCTTATTAGTGGTGGTGGTACTTCAGATTTCAAAAATATCAGGGAGAGACTTTGAGGGAAAATTATCTTCATTGTCCTCCAGCACAGAAAAGTAGATAATTATCCAACACATACACGTCCTTGATTTACGACCACAATTGAGCCCAAATTTTCTGTTGCTAAGCAAGTCAGTTGTTAGGTGAGTTTCGCCCCAATTTTACAACATTTTTGCCATAGTTGTTCAGCGAATCATGCAGTCATTAAGTGAATCCGGCTTCCCCCATTGACTTTGCTTGTCGGAAGCCAGCTGGGAAGGTTGCAAATGCTAATCACTTGATATAAATACATGCCCAAGTTTTGATCACGTGACAATGCTGCTACAGTTGTAACTAATTTTTTTCAGCGCCACTGTAACTTTGAACAGCCACTAAATGAATTCTGGTAAGTCGAGGATTACCTGTAATAGGAAAAAAAAAATCAACTAATCAAGGCTTGGCCCCCTAAGAAACATGAATTGAAATATATTCTCGGAAATAAACTTTTTTCTTATTTTTTCTGTCCTCTTCAAAGCTGGGTCTTCCCCCCCAGGCCTTAGGTTAATGTGGATGACGGGCTTCTTATGTGGGATTTTGCTAGATATTTGGGGGGGGTGTTTCTCCATATATTCGTTCTTCTGTAGTGGTTGGATGGAGAGACAGAGATAAAGTACATAGATCTGGAGAGGAACTCCTGAGCAAATAGAACTGCTGAGAAACAAAATCAAGATGGATGGAACCGGTCACTTTGGGGTTATTCATCTCTCCTGCTTATTCTGCATTTTTTGGTTTTGAAGCAGCAGTCTCAGGAGACGTTTTATGTAAATGTGATAGTTTCAGAAAAGGAGTAAAGGACCAATTATATTGCGAATAGCTAGTTCTAGCCACCCCATTCTTGGCTACTCATGCAAGAAGTTTCTGGTTGCAAGAAAGAAACATAATTTTACAGTCTGTTTGATCTGATTTACATTCAGCCCTACTCCTGCTAGGCAGGTTTATTCAGGACAACTTTCAGGGTGGTATTAGGACATTCACATGTCATATCTTTTGTCTGTTCCACCCAGATGGCCTTGGACTCTCTGGAATCAGAAGTCTCCTGTGGTCTTGTTCTGTATGTAGATGCAGTAGCCAATTTATCTCTCCCACATTCTGGAATTTGTGTTTCAGTGTAATGAAATGAAAATCTAGTCTTCCAGGACTTTTCTATAAAGGTCCCCAGCCTTATATTGTATTTCAATATATTGAATTCATTGAAACTGCATTTCCCAGAATTCTTAACCATTATGGCCAGAGGCACTTATCAGCATCTTATAACCCAACTTTCCTCTAGATTGCTCAAGATAATGTACTTTAAGCTTACCCCTTATATTAGCCTCATAGCTTTTGGTAAATTGAGAGAAAACTGTTGATTTACTCTCCCACTAAACTCCATGGCCAAGTGAGAATTTGAATTAGCTTGTCCACGATCATCACCTTAGCACCTTAATCATACTTCCTCCCAATGAGCCTTTTCAGGATCTGTACATTTGTAAGAAGGACAACTTTAATCTCCCGTATGAATAAACCCATTCCAAACTTTGTTTAATCCATTGAGGAACCTATAACCACCTAGTTTTTCTGGATCTGCTCAGTATATATATAGAAAAGATGTTTGAAAAGGAAGTCTTAAATTATAAAGTACTGCAGCTAGAAATTAAGCAGTGGTTTAACGTTTACTTCTTACAACATTCTTGAATTTACCTCATAATCTAATGAGTTTAAACAATTTGCATACATTTAAAGAGAGCATATGCATGTTTGTCTAAGCTGAAAGTAGTATATGTATATTGAATTCCATTGGAGTGCTGCTGAAAAATCATGATTAGTTTAAGGAAAGATGTGAAGACACATTCTTTTTAAAGCTAAGCTAACAAATTTACAAATTGAGTTGCAATACAAGTTGTGGTGTTCTAAGCATTTCTATTCTCCCAAACACTGTTTTCCCACCAGTATGCAAATAGTTAGTATTTTACGGCTACTGAGCATGTCTACTCACAGGGATTCATTTGTACTTTTCCTCCCCTTAATTTTTGTTTTGTTTCGTTCATTTTTCTTACATCCAGAAATATTGGATTTCGCCTCAAGCCCTTTGAGTCTACATGTCTATATTTTTTTTTATAGGATCTCAAGATTCAGAAGTCAGCGAAGAGCAGAAGAAAGAGAAAATCTTAGAACTGAGAAAGAAAGAAAAACTTTTGCAGGAGAAACTCTTGGAGAAAGTTGAAGAGTTGAAGAAGATCTGTTTGCGGGAAGCGGTGAGACTTCTTGTTTTCGTCCAGTCAAGCGTAGTTTGGGAGTATTCATTCTTTCTTTCTCGGGTTGCTAAGTGTGCTGTTCTCATATTCTGTAGGAGATCACTGGAAAAATGCCAAAGGAATATCCTCTGAACACTGGAGAGAAGCCTCCTCAAGTCAGAAGGCGTGTAGGTACAGCATTCAGATTGGATGACAATATGCTACCCAGTGAGGAGGTAGGCATATCTTTATTTGTTTATTTATTTATGGTTGTATAATATTTATACAGGTGCCCATCTTAAGAACACAAATCTGGGTGACTCACTACAACAGTAAAAATCAAAATGTAAAACAAAAATCTGGTGCTCCAGCCATCTTGGATGAATACTTCACCCTAACCCAGCTCCTGAGTAAAGACTTGACTTTGGAGCTGGGGTAGGCAACCTCGGCTCTTTTATGACTCATGGATTTCAACTCCCAGAATTCCTGAGTCAGCATAGCTGAAGTCCATGAGTCATAAAAGAGCCGAGGTTGCCTACCCCTGCTTTGGAGGATTCATTGGCAAAATCAGGTCACCCCAAAAATTTTAAGTGGGATCTCTTTTAAATACCTTGCTTGTTAAAACTCACTTTTTTGTGTGTTGGATAAGGGCCTTGAATCCCCCATGTAAGTTCTCTTAGAAATAAAGATTAATTATCAGTGGGTGGGTTTCAGTCTTTGAACAATTATTTCAAGAGCTGGTCTTAATCAGAATTTTAACTCTATTAATTTGAGTTGCCTGAAATTTGGATTGTTGGGATTCGGTGAAACATAGAATGCAGAGAAGTGCCTTTTAGCAGATTTTCGGAATTGCACATTATTGGAAAAGATGCCTTCCCTTTTACCTCTTTGAAGAGCACGTTACTCCATAACGTGGGCATAAATTATGTGTGGGAGGTGAACTATTTCCTTCTGACTGAGAGCTGTACATGTTTTAGGAGGTTTCATCATTTCCTTTTGGATTTATGTAGGCCTTTCTGTTGGAAGCCAGTCTTTTCTGGTATCAGTTGAAAGCTAACGTAGGAAGCAAAATATGGCGAGCTACTATGCAACCATTCTTGTAACTTGTTATTTGGAGTTTAATTTTTCAGGTTCTTAACTTCAAATCCATGTTGCAATTACTTATAAAATGTGACTTGCAACTCTGTTTTGGGAAGCACTTTTTGGTAAAATAGACGTCTTTGTTTACATTTTGTGTCATAGAACTGTTCGGGTCGTCCTTGACTTACAACCTTCTGTTTGGTGACCATTCAAAGTTACAACGGCCCTGAAAAAAGTGACTTATGACCGTTTTTCACACGTCCCTTGCAGCATCCTGGGGGGGGGGTCATGTGATCAAAATTCAGCAGTTTGGCAACTGGCATGTATCTATGACAACTGCAGAATCCCGGGGGTCATGTGATCACCTTTTGCAACCCTCTGACAAGCGAAGTCAATTGAGAAGCCCAGATTCACCTCACAACCGTGTTAATAACTTAACAACTCCAGTGATTCACTTACCAACTGTGACAAGAAAGGTCGCAAAGGGCAAAATTCACTTAACTGTCTTGCTTAGCAATGGAAATTTTGGGCTCAGTTGTGGTCATAAGTTGAGGACTACCTTGTATTTCAAAATTTAGAGATGAGCCAATATGGAAGGATAGATATGTTATGGTCTTCTATTTTCTGGACCCTCAACCTGGTATCTGGAAGCCAAAGTAATGCAGATTGCTCCCTTCCCATTTTTTTTAAGGTTCTTTTCATGTATGTCTGTATAAACAAATAAACAAACAAGGAACAGCTATGCTGTAAAACAGATCACTGGTTTCAAGCATAACACCAGCAAGATTGCATTAAACTGTCAGTGGAACAGGAAGAAAACTGGATTCAACACCCAGGCTGGGCAAAGTAAGGGTGGAGGTAGAGCAGGTTGTGTGGTTTTTTTTGTCACTTGAAAAGCAGGCTTCCAAGGAAGGAAGTATGAGTTTCGCCCCACCAAATGAGCTTGTTTTGTTCACATACTTTTGTTAAGTGAATCTGGTTTCCCCTTTGACTTGGCTTGTCAGAAAATAACAAAAGATGATCACAGAACGCCAGGACACCGCAATCGTCATAAATATGAGTCAATTGTCAAGCGTCTGAATTTTGATCATGTGACCATGGGGATGCTGCCATTGTAACTTCAGACAGTCACTAAATGAACTGTTGTAAGTCGAGGAGAACCTGTACTATATTTCTTCATGTGTTCTCTGAATTGTCCTTCAGTGTTTGAAAGCTGCCTTGCCTTAGATGGCATTCGGCAACTGTCTAACCTTTCTTTCCCTCCTTTTTTAAAGCCCCCTTCCCTCCCCAAAGCCATCTCTAGTTTAGGGGCATCTAGAGGAAGAGTTTTCAAAAATTAAAAATGGTGGCCCCCCCCCAGATGTGCAATTTAATCTCCATCACTCGTTTTACACATCGTGAATATATGCATCACAGATAAAAAGAGGAAGAACTTGGACCATGCAAGTCACATACCGTCTTGATGTTTTTAACCCTGCAGATATTCTTGGTTGCACCACTGAAGTTTGGTGACGTGTTTGTCAAAACATTGACAATACAATTGGCTTGAGTCTCTCTGATTCTTTACCAACATTGATACATAAGATTTTAAGATGTATGGGCATTATATTAGTGTTATCATCTTACTAAGTGCAGTATACTGCAGGAAAACGTGACAGCTTTTTGTTCACAGAATGACAGTTATGCAAATCCATAGCTGCTCCTGGAAAGATATTGAACTTTAACCCTAATAATATGACGTAAAACGGTTGGCTTCTTAATGATGGGCTGTAGCAGAATTAAAAAGACATTTAAGCTGATAAAAAGACCAGCTATTCTTTGTTACACGTATGGAAAAAAAGAAACCTTAAAGGTATAGCTTAAATTGAGGTCATTTCTTCTATGGCAAATCCTGATTGATGGATGGATGGATAGATCGATTGATTGACTGATTGATTTAAATCTCTGTAGGACCCAAAGCTGCAAAATCTAGAAAGCAACTTTCTCATCCAACAAAAATTGGTGGAAGCAGCAAAGAAACTGGCTGGCGAGCCAGACCTGTGCAAAAACGTGAAAAAGAAAAGAAAACAAGAGTACACAGAGGCAGTGAAAAAGCTTCAGGAGGTTGAAAATTCCATCAATGAATATAGAATTAAATGTGGGAAGAAACCTGCACAGAAGTCAACCCTGATTTTACCAGGTATCAAAAAAAAAAAAACCCCGCCTTTAATTCGTGCTGCCAGGGCTTTGTCTGTCTGTATGCACCTATATGTTTTTCAGTGTTATGTTTTTTTCTAGCATATTTATGTAACAGAAATGAAAGATCTAGGCTCCTCAGGGGGAAAAAAAACAGTTGGACTATAAGCCTGACTTCAGCAAATTTAGGAGCTTACCTGTAATCTGATTGTCATGTTTTCATGTAAGATGTGGTTGAGACAGAACACAGATGAAGCATTTATTCCAGCAAGTGCCGACGCGTTGGAGGGGAAAAGCAAATTAAAGCATTTTAATTTGGCTGGAAGGCCTGGTGGCATTCTTCCAGGCAAAACCTAGTGTGGTGCTGTGTTCTGTCAAGAATCAGATGCTGATTTGAGCAGAATGTGGCTGTTTAGTGGGTTTGTTGGCTAACATGCAATCCAAAACAGATCAAGTAGATCATTAGAGCATGACCTTCCCCCACCTGTCCACCTCATAACAGGTGTTGGCTGGGAGGGGAGGAGAGGGAAGGAAAGGAGATAAAAAGGCAGCTGATTTGGTGAGTCAGCAAGACAAAAAGATTGAAGTCCGCATAGCATAAAAATAAAGCATTGTATCACGATGCAAAAATGGTATATACAGGCAGTCCTCATTTATAATTGGGCAGCAATTGGGCCTAACAAATTCATTGCTAAGTGATGGGGTCATAAAGTGAAACATCACATGCCCATGTGGACTTACAATGTCAGTCATTATGTGAATCATCCCGGTTGTTAAGCAAGCTTTCTCATGATTGGGACTTGTGACTTCCTGCCGGCTTCCCCATTGATTTTGGTTGCCAGAGGGTCACAAATGGCAATCACAGGAATACAGAATGCTGGTGAAGGCCACAAATTCAAGGACTGGTCATAATCTACTTTTTCAGTGCTGTCATAATTTAGGTTGCCAAATGGGGCAGTCGGTAAACGAGGACTACCTGTATCAGAGCAGTGTACTCCAAACTGGAATCCTCCAGGTGTTTGGGGACCAAAGCTCTGGGAATTCTCAACCAGGGAGGAAGAAGAGGAATAAACAGATCCAGAGGTTGATAATTCAGTTCTCCAAATTGAGGTTATATGAGGAGAGAGTGCATTCACACCCTTGGGCCCAGCCCATTATATCACCTTTGCTGATTCACAAGGCAGTCCAAAAAAAAAAAAAAAAGCAGCCAAAAGTCTTGGCTCTCAGAATTTCAACATTCCTCAAAGCAGGCAGAGTCAGGCACTTGGCAAATGTCTTTAAAATGAGAAAAGATTGGAGCCTAACAAGTATTAAAACACCTTCTTTCTTTTCACCTGTTCCATAGTATGACTGTGGTGAGAATAGGGTACAACAGAGGGCACATCATTTGAAGGGGATTCCACTCCTTTTTCACTTTTTGTGGGTCCAGTTCTGGCCAGTGAACAGATAGCATAAGGAAGATGGGCTTGAACAGATTGCACAAGGAATTTAATGAACTGGCTCTATATTTTGTAATCCAAGAACGTCGGAAAATTGCAAGTTTTGGATCAGCTGCCCATGGCCTCTTGTTTATGTCCCAAACCTGGGCTTTGGGGAAACTTTCACATATTGTTAAAGTCCAATACCTGTACCTGTTGTATCCACTTGCTCTTATAACTGCTCCCTTTCACTTTTCATCATTTTCTTTTTTTTCAATATAAAATTTTATTGTTTTTATCATAAAAGAAAAAAGAAATACATCACAGGTATTACACAATGATTTATCCCATCCCCCCACCCCCCGGACTTCCCAAACCAAACCTAGGCTAATATTCAAATACAGGTAAACAAATATTAATATCTCTAACTCCAAACTCTAAACTTAAACAATCCATCTCCTCCGTGTCAATAAA